TGCCTCAAACACTTACAAAAAAACCCCAAAAACTTAGAACCATTCATTCTGGATACTGCCCTGAAGCTCTAGGGTTTTGTTCCCCCACATTCCCCAATAAACCAGTTGTTTACCCACAGGTCAACTTAGCAAGAAATACATTTATTCTCATGAAAACAAGCTTTTCCAATTATCATCCCCTTGTTTATGTCCTTTTAAGTACAGTAAGACAACAAGTTATTCCAGTAATTACTCACTGCAAGCTCTTGAAAACCCTAAGAGTTCCCATGTCATTCAACAGTATGGGAGAAGTTAAAAGGATTAGAAATCCTACCATAAATGTTTGCTTGTCACAGTTCAACTGAACAAGAAATTGAAGGAACTAATTGATCTCATTGGTGTTTCAGCAATTAATTGAAGCCAAGTGTTCAGTGACTCCTAAATCCCATCTCACGACTTAGAACTACAGTCCTTGGTTACAAATGAAGTTATGAGAACAGAGAAAGGAATTCAAAAAATGTTTAAATCAAGGAAAAGGAAAACACACTGGCAAGGACCCTGGGAAGAATGCTTGATTAAAAAGAAATAAAAACACTTCACAAGCATCATACATGTAATGATTTTAAAAAGCTTTCCTTTGTTCTGTAACTCCAAGTAAAACTTCTACCAACGCTGCAGCCACTTAATGGAGAACACTGGAGGATTCCTAAATACTTTGGAGAACCTGCTGTCACACAGGAAGCACAAGACAAGAAGCAGCAATATGCCTTAGTTCCCCAAATACTAACTGCATTCCAGCTTATTCTATCTATTCAACTCTTATTTCTCTTAAAAAGGCAGATTTTATTCCTCATGACAACCAAACAGTTTGCTCTTTTCAAACACGCTTTGTTTATAAAGCTCAGTGGAAAATATTCTTTGGAAAAGTTGAGAGCAAAGTACCCAGTGTTTTACAGATAAGGCTTTTCCCCAAAGAGTTGCAAGTCTCAAGTAGATAAGGGCAAGCAATAGCATTTGGATACAACAGGCAGCATTAACTAATGTATGTCCAAGAGGATTTTAGTATTTCCCCAAGGTCTGTTTTGTTCAGTTTTATGAGGGAAAGGTTAGAATTTACTATCCTCATGCTTTCAATCAGCGATTTGAGTGGCACAAAGTTTTTATTATTAAAGTTTATTAATCTCCTCCTAAAGCCCATGCATCTGGTATTCTTGCAAAGGTCAGGTGACAATATGCCAAGTCTTCCAAGGAAATATTTCCCTTTGGACCAATTAGAAATTTCTCCACGTTGAGTGGAGAAACTCTGATGCAATTTGAAATTGAAGACTGCTCTGATTATCTTAGATGGCATCTAGCTCTCCTCAACATGTAGAACAAATGCTTTTGAAGCTAAAAAGCATTTCTCCAAGTTTCTCCTTTTTGCAAGACTACTTAAGTGACACGAGTATCCTCAAATACGTGACCACATGCAAGCCAGAGGGAATAGAAAACAAACAGCTCTAACTTATAAAGCAGCAGTATGAAAGGCATCCAGCTTTTTAAAAAAGCTGTATTTAATATTAAGGACATAAAATGATCCTGTATTTTGAAGTTTATTTTCACAACACCACTGTATCCTTGTTTTCCAAGTTATTACAACTATATTTTCTGAATCCCTGTTTTCAGAACAGGGCAGCTTCTCTTGGAGAGCCAAACTTGTTTTCTCCCATGGTACAGAATCAGATCTGTCTCAAGGAGATGGGCATTGCCCTCTGCAGTCCAGGGCAGTATCAGGTAAGTGTCCGCATCTCTGCTGCATGCAAATTTCAGTTTAGTTCAGTAATTATTTCCTGTGGAAAGACATGATCACAATTACATTTACACTACATTTACACCGAGCCTGAGATAAAGACCCCTGAGTATCTCAGAAAAAGCTCCTATTACATGTACCTAAAACATACAAAAGATAAACACATCAACGACACAAAGGCAATACCAGCAGGTTTTTTAGGTTGTTTTTTTTTTACCTCTGTGATCAACAGAGGGTTTGAAGGCTTGAAGGATCTTGGGCACTGCTATCCCCATGTCAAGCTCAGTCAGAGTCAGCTCATTCATGAAGTAGGGCAGCTAAAAGAAAAGCATATAAAAAAATCAAATACATATTATGGAACTAAACATCAGTTTCCTGAGAGAAGAAAGCTCATTAAACCTAAGAAATGGACTGAGCTGAAATGTGACCACTGAAAGAACATAAATATAATTACACAAATTTCTTACTATTCTAACATTTCACAGTTGCCAGTTTCAAAACTTTTTAGGGAGAGATTAGACATCTGAACTTGTTTTTAAAATTATGTTGAAGTTTAGATGCTGACCTTAAACCACCTGCATGCTTTTTAGTCAAAATATGTAAAAAGCTCAAGAATGAAGTGTAAATCCTATTTCACTGTGAATAAAAATCAAAGACTTCTTTTCATTTTAACCACAGTCATACATTTTATCATTGATGTTTTATCAGTGTCTCAGCTTCTTTCATCTTTGACAAATTCTTTCATAGAAAATTACCTTTTAAATCTGTATCATAGTTTTAGTAAAACAGAGGCACAACTTCATGATTTAGGTATCTATTCACTTAAGTATTTCTAATTGACAGAAAACATATCTCTGTGAATAGACACTGCTTTAACACATCAAAAATACATCCAGTCCCCATTCCCAGTCCTCACACTTAAGAAGTTACCAGTGAGATGTCTGGGTACCCTGCTGTCACAATTGTGGAAGCAGACAGGCAGAATCAGGCTACTGGTTATTTCCCAAAGCAAAGGCAGCACTATCTCACAGCTGGTGCTGGCAGCTAAATTCCTGAGCTTTCCTCAGCAAGACAAAAAACTTCCTTTGCTTTTAGAAACAGGCAAACTCCTCCCAAACATCAGGAGCTGAAGGCCTGTGATGAAGTGCTGCTGTTCAGAAGGGTTACAGAAGGCAAGGGGAAGACTGAGAAGTCACTCAAAAGCATCACTCCTCCCTTCACCCTTGAGATGGTGCAGCTGATGGAAGCTGTGTCCTGTCACCCTACAGAGCTTTTTCCATAACTATTGCTCCCTCTGACCACCTGCAAGTAGTTTGTGTCTGAAGTTAACAGGAACACATTACAGTTGTGGTTCCCTGATGTCCTCCACCTTAAAAGCAGATTTCCTCATTTATATGCAGTTCTATTCATCCCTGATGTAAATAGAATAATACTTGAATTTTTACATAAAAACTTGACAGATACAAATAGCTAATCCAGCTGCAGCTCATTTTAAACAGAAGTAGCAAAGTTGACATGCTGAGATCCATCAGAAACTGAACTGCCATTCTGGAGCACATTTACTGTCTTTTACATGTAAGTGTGAAATAAGTCTTTCTTGTACTATTTTAAAACTCAAAGACTATGTGTTTCACTTCCTTCACAAGGAGTGTAAGTGTCCAGATCAGGTACCTTTATTTTGCTAAGTTTCATTTGGATCTTCTTTGACACTAGATCAGACCAATACTTCTCTCCTAAAAAATCCCAAAATATTCTTCCAAGCAGAGCATTCACCCAGGCCTCCTGTTCTTCTTCAGCTTCCACGCTGGCATCTGGCAACTGAAAACATAAAGCAGGTTATTCAGCTATATAAATTTTATAAAATAAGGGTAGAAAAGGCCTGATTGATACGGGAAGTTCAGTGTTAAGAGCCTAGGTCAGCCCAGAACACCAAATGTTCAGCACAGGGAGCACTTTACAAACGCATCAGCCAGGCTGCCACGAGCCTGTCATCGTCCTGACATGCAGCAGAGGGAATGAGACCACACAGATATAGATTGACCTCTGGCAATGAAATGAGAAAGTTGTATGTAATTTAACCTCTGGCAGAAAAAGCAGATAAAACCAGAGTGGGCAGACTTATAAATGTGTTTGCAAGTAAGAGATATTCTCTCTTGCCAGTCAGATCTGGAAGAACAGGTATTCCACTCTTTGTTTCATAAAAAAATTGGAAAGCAAGACCCAACCATACATCTTTAAATCCAGTTCAGAAACACCATAAATAGACGATAAACACAGCACAGAGAATCACACTCCTTCTTCCAGAGTTTGCATATAGGATTCAGGAAACAATATTGTTCCCTCTGCTGCATTAAAGGTTCTGTTTACAGTGCAAGAGAATTCTGTCTTGGTTTCCTTGAGAACCATTTTGAAACACCTGGAAATATTATACATTCAGATGCTGCATCACTGACTACATACACAGAAGCCAAAGCAGCTGAAATAATTTTGGGTGTGTACACATGCTACCATGAAATAACAGGAAGTTTCCATGAAAGAAACACAACACATTAAGTGCCCGCAACGGCAGAAGAATTCACCACCCTACATTATTCCAGGCAGAACTCCTGGAGCTAGCAGAAAGGCAGTGCTTTCTAAGACAGGCAGGTAGATGCTGCACTCTGAACATCATCTCTTGGCAGCTTCTGCTTGCAAGGGCTGCAGCCTGGCTCTGCCAGGACGGCTGGGTGAGGAGCCTCTGCTGTGACGCAGGTTCCCTGCCAGCACTGCTCATCTATTTATAGAATGACTTCTGACACGTGCCAGATCCAGCAGCAAATCCATCACAGCTTCAGGAGTGACTGGGGGCTAGAATATGTTCTCCTGGTGGAACACAGGATGTGTTTATTCATACATTACACTATGGCCTCCTATTCCCTTTTCTGGGTATTGTATGAAAGTCTGGAAACAAAGATGCATGATATGAACTACATATTTTAAACAAACAGTGGTCATGCTTAACATGAAAGATGTGTTTATTATGAGTGTTGTACTTAGTATTAAGGTTCTGTTTACTGACAGTGACTCAAATGCAGTCCAGGAGGCCAAAGGATGAATAAGAGCTATAGACACTTCATTATTCCTATGGAGCACAAATATTACCTTTTTCACAGCTGTAGGGCTGCTGTCTGCACTGAGGACTGGACTACCTGAAGGGCTTTTCTTTTCTTGTGGAATACACTTTGCCATATAAATATTGTAGTCCAGAAGCATTTTCTGCCTCACGTTGCCAGCCAGGTCCTTATGCTTTGGCTGGGATGTGATTTCTTCTGTACTCCCCTTGCTGCTGCTCCGGCTGTGTGTGAGAACTCCAGACTGACTATCAGCTTTACTGTGTGCTGGCAGCACCCCTAAAATTCAAAGGAATAATACCTGTTCAACAGAGAATAAATCTAACAGCCAAATACCACAGTGTATCATCAAACTTTAAAGGAAGACATTTATTCCACAGATATTCCTCCTGAAAAAAGACCAGCGTGGTGCTTTCTTATTTTAAAGGCTAAAAGTAAAATCTACTGCTGTGTGTTTAGGAGGTCCTAAACCCAAATTAGCCAGGAATTGCTATGATTCAGCACTCAGCAGGGTGTAGGACTGGAGGAGTCAGCTGATCAATAGCAAATTTAAATATGGACACTCACGTATGTGCAACACATGGCAGAATTCCCAACAGCCCTGCTGAGGAATGCCTAAAATAAAAGTCAGGTGATTGAAATGCACCTATGACTAAAGTATTTTTTTCCTACTCTAATTATAGGCTGTTACAACTAGAAGGACTGTCAAAAGTATGTAACTATTAGAATTTTAATTAGCTATTAATTTTGCATTGCATTTCAAGAAGTTATGTGCCAGAAACAATAATGTTAACTGATTTTTAAAAAGCTTCTCAGAGAATAAAGACAGAAAAGCATGAGTCATTCAGATTTAAAACTGTATCAGAGGATAGGTTTAAATTTATATTCCAAACAACTGATCAATACTATTGTCTAATGTTTGTTGGTTCAGATATATACATCTATTCATATATGTATTAGTGCAGGAACAGAGAAATGTGCTTTCTTGTGACACTAACCCATGAGAAAGTTCTATCCTTTACAGGAGACTCAAGTGGAAGGAAGGATGGAGGAGGAAAAACTGGTAATGAGAGAACTGAGTCTAATATTGCAAATGTTGACATCAGTTCCAACATACAGAAAAAGAAGAGACTGAATAATTAATCTTTACAAATATGACAAGAGTTATTGCAGCCACTGAAAAACTGTGTATTCAAATAAAATAGTCTAAAAATACTAATAATATTTGAAAGCACGGAGTCAAGAAGGAAAAAAGTGGAAGGTAAGGTGGCAATAAGAGGCCAAGGAAAGGACAGAAGTATCTTTGGTATTATTATTTTTTGCTTGTAAAGATCACTGTGGCACCACCATAATGTAACTTTGCTTTGTTCCTTTTAACAAACTTCTACAAGAATACAAAATCTGAGTACCTGGCTTGCTCCCACACAAACTGGGGAGCTTCTTCACTTCAGACTTGAGCTTTGAAGCGAGAAGGAACCTTCTGAACCACTCCTCCTTCTCCCTACCCGTCCTTCCAAAGAGATAAAGCACCTGATCCTTTTGGCAAGTGTACTTCACTCCATCCTGAGGTTTCTTGGATTCCTCATTGTTTGAGTCCACTTTTTCAGCTGGTAACTTTTCCTCTGCAGTTTCCTTCTCAGTCTGGGCCTTGGCCATGAAGTCATCCTGTTTGCCAAGTTCAATGCAAATAGGGTATTTCTTATTCCAAATTCGTTTCCGTGCCAGGCTCTTGGGAACCAGGGAAATCTGAAGGATACATGAAAGGGTTAAGTGAATTGATTATTCACTTGTATCCTCTATGTTTCTATACTCAAGTAAAGAACACAGGAATGCAAGAGAGAAAGATCCCACACTGGATCTGTCAGTTTAACTGACTCAAAATTGCTGGTGGATGTCCAACCACTGCTATCACTAAGTCTTTGGTGAGCCAAACCTTGGAATTAAAAAAAAGACATTTAAGCAGATTATACCACGTGGATTAGAAACTCTGTTTTCATTTAAATTATCCTATTCTCATTGATCTGCAGAAAAAACTGAAAAATCAAGAATTGTATTTCTGGGACCATGGGGAGATAAATAGATAAGATACAATAATCAGAGTCCAAACTGAGTTTTGAACATAACTTTTCATGCCCACCTTACTAAATTGAGCATCTGAACTTGGTGACAGCCACATCAAATACATAAGAGTCAAGCCATAAGACTGATTTGCAGATAATTATATCCTAAATTCAGTATATTTATATCAAATTAAGACAATGCTAGTAATTAGAAGAGTGGTTTAAAAAAAGAGTTAAAAATTCTTATGTGGGGTCTAAACTCAACAGTGTTCTCCAAAAACTGTGGGCAAACACCTTGAGGAACAGGCATCATTTGTTAATTACAGTCAGGGCACTTGGCACTTCTGTCATCAACTGGGGCTGGCTGGGGGGAAGTACTGGAAATTCTTCTAAGATACCATGGGGCACCACCATCAGTCAAATGCTCCTGCAGGACACGACAGCTTTGCTTGTCTTCATGGTGGGAAAACAAATCTGCAAAAGGCAGGAATCTAAGTTTTTGCTTTATCCTTTTCACTATCTTCCTTTAATGGAAGGCAGAGCTGACAGCATGCTCCTTTCCCACAGAGTCTCAGAGGAAAGGGAGTTTTTCCTCACTGTTGCCTTGGTCCCTCTCTCCCTCTCACTTCCAGTCAAGTGAAGCGTGGTTTCCTCCTACAGCTGTACTGCCAAGGCCCTCGACTGATGCAGTACATTAAAAAAATCCATTCCCTTAATAATTAGGTATTGATGTATTATTTAAAACAATGCCAATGGAATCAACTTCACGTGGCAACTCTTGACATATTTGAGGGAGGCAAACAACACGTAGGAAAACTGTCCTGGCATTATTGTTGATACACTCTTCCAGCTGCAAAAATCCCCATCTCCTTCCCTGGACTGGGGGTACCTAGAGCAGGTCACATTCCAGACTCTCCTCTTTCACATTCACATATGAGGTGCATTCCCTCTTGGAGTGAAAGGCAAATGTTGTCTCAGCTACCTTGGGGTACAGACAACCACCAAAGAAGAGGCATTTTGGTGTAACCTTCAGAACAGCCCCACAGTCATCTCATGCATTGGGAACAAATCTCAGCGCTCTCGTGAGTTAACTCTGCTCTCAACTGCCACAGGAAAATCATGCCTTTCCCTTATTGTGCAAATATGTACTTTCTTCCAAATCCTGCTCAATCTTCCTCCCCAGCACAATCTTTTGAAAGTTAGTCATGACAACAGTTTTGTTTAAATAATGACAGAATGTGAAAATAGAGGAATGAAAAAAACTTCAAACTTAAAAAGAATTTGCAAAGTATTCTTTGTTAAAATCAGATATGAGTAAGATACTCACCTTGCTGTCTGTTAGTTCATAAATTTTTTGACTGACATATGTGACTTCAGGCTTTGGCTCATTGTACACAGCTCTTCTAGAAATATTTTTATTGGGTTTTGAAAGTCGTAGGGTACTGCCTTCAAGTCGCACATAGACAGAGTGAGTCAATGTAGCATGGTATGTTTCTGGATCATAATTATAAATTTCATTCATCCATCCCTAGAGAAAAAGACACTGTTAACAGGCTTTTAAGCTGCTAGAAAACAAAGTACATATACCTAAAAACTTTAAATTATTATCCAAGCTTTTGCCAAAGTCGTTTCACTTAGTGCACAAACAGAACGAGGCAATAAATGCTCTAAATGCACCAAACCAACAGAGACATGGATGAGATCTCAAGCACATGGGGTGTTTTTTCTGACTCACAGTCACTTTGTTTATGTAGCACAGGGTGCTCCCACCTCATCCCCAGGACCACGGTGGGATCTGCAGATGCAGGATGCCAGGAAGAGCCATGGGGAGGGAGGGCTGAGCAGCACAGCAGCTCCTCTGCTCCCAGCACACTCGGACACTTCAATGACCCGGAGCCCAGGCAGAGCAAACAGCCTGTCTGCCCACAGAACAGCACTGACATTGTCATCACCACAATTAAGGACTCAGGAAAACCACAATGGAGTTTGCTTTCATGCACCATCACTGTTTGAGATCATTTAACATGTTGTGTAACTGCCCAGCTACAGCACAGGAGTCATACATGTGGATTAAATTCAATTAATTTCTGTGCTGTAAAAGACAAAACAAACCAGCCAGTTCTGCTGTAACAAGTCTTTGAGTGCTGACTCTGACCACGGGAGGGGTTTCTCCTCCTCTTCTGCTTACAGAAATAGAGATGATAAATGAGGTAGAAGGTAGGCAGAATACTCATTCAAGGAGAAGTTTTCCTTCTCTTAACCTGCCAGACAACATTCTTCGATCATTGTTTTTATCTGCACATCAGAACCTTAAATTCATCATACTCAATATTCATCAATGTCAACAGAAAGTGAAGGGGAGCAGAAAGTCAAATGGAACCTTTACAAACACCTGCAGTCTGGGAAGTGGGGAGAGCTCAGTGAGTACCCCAGTATTTCTCAAAACAGAAAGTTGTAACTACCTTACACAAAACAACCCAAAAACTACTGTAAGATTTCAACTTATTAAAGAAGTTTCCACCCACACACAGAAATGCAAAATTTACTTTTATGCTAATTTTCTTCAGTTTCAGTACCATGTAATTTCCCACAGTAGACAGCACACACTTTCTTAGGTGCCATAGTAACAGTGGTATCTGTTTTGCTTACTCCAACATCTAGCTCTTTTTTTACTACAAACCCTGAAAAAACTAGATAAATTAGCATTTCTTTTATGTTCAGGAAAGATTAAGTCATTCATCTTTGCTCAGCTCCAAAGCAGATTATGTCTTTTATTAATAGAAATGCCTATACCAGGACATACTCTTTGAAGAAGCTTTATGGTTGTTTTTTTCTTACAGTGGGTTATACACTACTCCCATGTAGGAAATACAACGCATGAGGAAGAGTTTTCTATAAGCCATCAAATTCTGCACAGCAGGGCTGATGTAGGTTTGAGGCACATCCTATCTCCTTCCTAGAAATTATTTAGCCAAGACATCTTTGAGCAGACAGCAATTAATTTTCAGCTAGGAACTCCAGCTGGACTTAGTGAAGCACAAGAACATCACGTGAGCTGCCCAAAGCCACCGTATGCAGGAACTGGAATATCCATATGGCCCTGAGATCTCTGGAGCAACTCCCACCTGCCCCTCATCACATCTCCAAGCTATTTCTAGCTCAGACAAAGTCTGGAGCCTGCAGCCAGGCAAACATACAGATGGGAATTTGCTGCCTCAGAAGTTTCTTGCCTTCTCCTGGAAGGCCGTTCAGCCAACACTGCAGCAGCTGGCACAGAGTGGAAGGGCTGGAGAGTGGGGCACTATAGGAAGTTTGGTCACAGGAGCCATTTCTCTAAGTCTAATAAACTATCTATCTGCAGTAGAAAGGTTGGAAACTTATGGGCACATATGGGTAGCCAGGAAGGAAGGTCAGACTGCACCTGACATTCCTTTAACGGGCTGCTAGAGATGGAACTGTGATGAAAACAAGGAGTGATTCAGTCATCGAAATCTTGACTTCCATGTGCCAAATTAAGAAGCAAAAATCCCTCCTGCTTTTCTGATCCCTACCATGTGCCCAGGCTTTCCAGTTCAAACAAATGGATTAGCTGTACAATCTGCCAAACACACAATTCTCACACCCTGTAGTGCCTCTCCTGCTCACCCATAACCCAACAGAAGAGCAAACACAGCACAACCACCAGGTTATCAGCAACTGAAGTACCAAGTTTAGGTTTAAGTATTTGAGATTTTATTTTCAGACAACAGTCAGGATGAAAGAGACAACCCTCCTTGTACATAAAATTTTCGTTTTCTAATTTCTAAGAATGAAGTTTCTTCTTCGCACTTGATAGTCAAGTTATTTTGTTACAGAGATAAACTGCATGGCTGACAGTAAAATGTTAATGCTTCACTAAATGATGAATCTTCACTCTATTAATGAATCTGAAAATGTGTGGCAGCTGCAGGAATTTTATCTAACAGCTCTAAAGGAGGTAACAACACCACCTGCCTGCTCATCTCAGTGACCTTCAGTTCTGGAAATTGTTTCACCTAGAGAAGGTTATCCAAGAAGCACATAAAGTCGTTCCGAAGTTCCTGCACTTTAAAAACAATTTCAGCAGAAATACCTCTGCCTCTCTTTTTGCAAAACCAAATTGGAGCAAAAGATTCACAGCCCCCAGAAACTGTTTTGCAATGCACCCAAACAGAGAAGTTGTTACTTTAATGTGCTAGCAACAGATAAATTCTCCCCAAACTACTGAAGCAACAATGGATTTCGTTGTGTAGGAGAGGAGTGACTGTAGGATAGGTTTTCTCTGTTCTAGCAAAGTTGTTAAAATAAGAAATTTAGTAATTGTGGGAGGACAATGAGCACAGTCATATGGCACTGTGCAGCTGCTGCCCATTGACACTGATCCTGTGATCTCCATTCAGGAAGGTCAGCAGTGGCTCCACACTCCCAGCTGAAAGCAGAACGTGCGTGGCCATGAGGCTGGGAACCCCCCAGAGCAGGGAGCACTGCAGGGCTGGGCAGCACCGCGGCTTTCCCAGCTCAGGGCACAGCCACAATCCACAGCTGCTGCCACTGCTCCAGCCCTGGCAACACTCAGCTCTGTGGGACATGGCCACCTACAAAAACTGGTTCAAAATCTTCCCCCCCAATTTGATTTTTCTCTTGCCTGACTCTGAGCTCCCAGTTTTTTATTCAAAGTGCAGTTCAACAGAATAATTCATGTAAGAACTGCACAGTCAAGCCTTTTTAGTGTTACTTATTTACTTGTCTCAGATGTGTTACAGCATAACCTGAGAGGGGAGGGTGGGGAGAATTGGAGAAGATCCTTATGAAGCACCCAGAGGGCTGGGGGCACAGACCAGATCTGTGGGTAAAAGTAAATTAAAATCATTACTTATGATACTTTCAACTACATAAATAAAAGAATCAGCCACTTTCACAATACAAGCCCAAACCTCGATTAAAACTGTCTCTAAAGCTTCCTAGTGATATTAACTGCTTAAAAGCCATGAGAGAAAAAGAGAATGCATTTTTTGAGCTTCATTCACAGGGAATACAGAGAGATAAAAAGGGTCTGAGATAGGAGAAACAAGCATCACCTTAACTGGAAAAAACACTTGTCTGCCAGAGGCCACTATCAAACATGAAATCCCTTGGATAGTACTCAGGAATGGCATGCTGATAAAAAGCCTCCACTTTCTGTACAGCTGTGGCTCAAAACCTCCACTTCTCCAGCAGGCACTGCCACTGTGTTTTCCTGTAAGTTCTTTCTAATGGAAAAGGTAAATTTTTCATTTCCATTTTAGCTGTTACTTAAAACCTTTCGTATCAGCCAGCACAACACAAGAGAATGCACAGTTGAAAGGGCAAGAAGGAAGTTAGAAAACACTAATGGATTAAAGAAGGAAAAAATGTGGGCAGAGAAAAAAAAATAAAAATATAAGGAAGCCAGAGAACTGAAAACCAGGAGAATAGGCAGATACAAAAACATGCAATGAAGATGCAAGGATTTTGTGCATTTTCTGGTTGGGGGGATGTTTTCCCCCAGTACCAAGGACATTTGACTGAAGTACACTGACTGACAGGCACCTATAGAAACACACCAACACAGTCATTTATTTTCTCCCACTGCCAAGAAACACTTTTGTGGGAGACAATAACCTGCTCAAGTTTTTCAGCAATTGCCAAGGGGAATTTTGCACTAGTTTTCAAAACCTGGGAAATGCAGACTTCTCAAACAATGTTTACATGAGGGAGAATGCACACATGCTTGTACAGAAATAGCTGGACAGCAGCTTGGCAGGATTTCAACTCCTTGAGCCCCATATGAAGGGATCTTACTCAGAGCATTTATCATTTGCATGAGAGCAGTCCAGGCCAGAATATCAGACCAACAAGTTCTGAAGAGAACATCAAGTTTGATTTTCCTATATTCCCCTGAGTTTTGTTACAGATTAAGTCTTTAGCTGCCTTTTCAGAAGATTTAAGCTGTCCAGTACTCATTTTGACAGATGCAAATAGAAAATAGTTGTATGAAGTGCGAATAATAACTTGCAATCTGCTAAATCATATTATATTATGCTACACTACACCACGGCCACTGAGTTGGTTTTATAACTCCTGGAGCATTTACATACTAAAGACAATTACTTTGTGTGTTACAAGCACAAGAAATATATCAGGCCATAAAAACCATTCATCTCCATTTATACAGACTTCTCTACACTGTTCATTTCTTGCCTACAGATGTTTTCATAAGATGTAACTCCTCAATAAAAGCATTAAAATATAATTTAAAGGTTCCTGACTAAAAGCTGACATCTCAGAGACACCTGCTAATAATGAATATCAGGATCTTTACTGGCTCTCAGTTATCGAGGAAGGGTCTTGGCTCCAAATAACAAGGACTGAACTGAAAGTTTGGAACAATTTGTACATGGGAGCAGCAGGTAATTCAGTTGGGCAGAAAGGAGTGTTCAGTCTGAATTCACTACAGCAAATAATAACCACAACTAGTATCATTCACAAAAAAGGGAACACCAAGGTAGAATAAGGGCTAGACATGCAACTGCCACCTTCATGCAACAAAAGTAGAGTTTTATATTCTGTTTCTCTAACTTTTCAGTTACTTAAAGACACATGGAATTAGCCATCAATACATTATAGATTGTACAGTATATACCCATCTGAATTTAAATTCATGAAACCTTTGTGCTGTTACAATTGGAGATGCACCTTCAAAAAGCTCAATTTATGCCTCCACAAATACTGTGATAAGCATGTGATATCAAGTTAAGGTTACACCACCAGCACTCAGAAATGCTTCTGCTGCACATCAGAAACCAGTAGATGTTTTCTTGCTCAGAATTCTGCAATTGGGAAAATATTACTTTAATTGATCACAGATGGAGATTAGGAAGGCAGAACAGGGACCAGAAGCACTAAAGGAACAGAGGGGTTGGATGGATCACAGCTGGACAGGCAGCAAAGTGACACACAAAGTGACAGCAACTTGCAATATCTCAACAAGTGGAGGGCAGAGAGCAGGAAGGACAAACTTTCATTTAAAACCCAGCTCTCAGACACATTTTGCTGAACTGTAATTCCTACTCCCATTTCAATCAGCTTATTTTTGAGGAGGACCCATATGCTCTCCAACTCTCTATGCTCTACAATGCTTTTGTCTCTGCTTATGAACAGACCAGAGCAGAAAAATTACTGCCTAGACAGAAAAATATCCCAGAAACAAAATACATCTCCCAAGATGCAGCCTCAAGCATGAATGTTATTTTACACACGAAACTTTGACACCACATGCTCTCAGTAGTTCAGCTGGATCGTTCCAAATCCATCAGCAAAGCCATTTGCCCTTTTACTTTTGAAGAAATTCCATTTTCTACTAATTCCTAAAGACACTGAAGTCTTATATATTCTTGGATACCAAACCATTTGTGCCCTTGCCAAAGTGAGTTGACCCTAAAAACTATTTACAAATGGGGACATTTCAGCTCATTTACACACTCAGGATAAATCTAGCTTGCTCCTTCTACCCAAAATAATGCAGACACACACACAAAATGCCATGACCTCACCTTCAGTATTTCAGGTTCTTTGATGTCTAGAGCTCCTGTATTCCATTGCTTTTTCATGCTTTTATGGAATTTGAGATACTCATGAGTACGTGGAGTAAGAAGCCAAATCACACAGACAGCTACCATAAATCCAAGGGCCATTCCAAGTAAAAGTCCACTTAAATAGCCAGGGAGAGGGATAATAAGGTAAGCATAGACTAATAGTACTAATAAGTATAAAGTTTTCACTGGTATTTTGGGCTGTTGCACATCCAGATTATTTTCATCTTCACTACTGAGCATAGTAACAGTTTCCTCAGTCATCTGGGAATCAACCACAGTTTCAGCAGGTTTATCAGTTTTGCTTTCCTCCTCTAGCAAGAGAAAGTCTTCAGAATACAGTTCACAAAACTCCTCATCCTCCCTGCTCACCAGTGCTGACAATGAACATTTTTCAAGTACGAGTGAAGGTTTTGACCCCACGTCCTTTGTGCTTGCAGACTGAGAGCTTTTGGTCTCCATCTCTTTTGCAAGTTCTTCTGCCCCTCTTGACTGATCACTCTTAGTCAGATTTAAGTCACTCCCAGAGAAGTCCCCTTCAGAATCACACTCCTCTTCCTTAATGCTGTAGTTGTTATTGCTTTCCAAATGGCCATTCAAACTGGAAAGGTTTGAGAGTTCTGAAGCACTTGAAGATAAGGCTTTGGGCCTGTGGCTACTACTTTCATCACCCATTATTTTACTGAGCAGCTGAAGAGGCTCATAGATGACCTCAGAAAGGCGTCTTTTTGTATCTTCGATTTTAGCTTCCATTTCAGGTACTTTAAAAAAGGAACGAGTATCGGAGGGGGATGTTAATGGAGAGGAGGGGGCAGTTTTAGAATCACCACCTGTAGCTCGAGGTTGAGTGAACTGTTTGAACAGATGCAAATTCAGTTTTGAGTCGGGCCTGTAAGACACAGTTTCAGACTCCTGTTTAGAAGTGTCTGTAGACAGAGATTTCACCAAGGTTTTCATTAACTGTCTATGTCGCAGCGGTGGGGTGGGTTCTTTTGGTTCCACTTCTGTTGAAAAGGACTTGACTAAGCCCTTAAAAGGCTTTGAACTAGAAACTGCAGATGATCCACTAGAGCAGGCAACTGATCTGGAAGGGGATGAGGATGGGGAAGACAGACTGGATTTCTGTTCCACAGGTGGTGCTGCCGCACCTGATGTGCCAAATGTGTGACATGAGTGGGATGACGGAGACAGGACTGGTGGCACTGCACTGAGTATTTGGGATGGGGAAGGAGAGTCCAAGAGCTTTACAGTTTCTGCAGTTGGCAGAACTGCAGGTGATGAGGACAGTGGTGATGCAGAGTTGGCCATGTTAAGCGAGGTAGCTGGACCAAAAAGGTCATGGCCGGTATGCTCAAAGCAGAGGTCTTCCTTGGCTTCAAGTGCTGTTACAATGCTTTGGTCATCTAGTTCCTCATCAAGAAACTCTTTAAACTCCTCTTCCTCCTCTTCTTCCTCCTTCCCAAATGCAGAGAAATGAATAGTGATGGTTTCTCGGGACACAGATCGTTGGACCTGCACTTTTGGTGTTGACTGCTTTGAGGACATTTCACCGGTTTTCTCTGCATGGCTACTGTTCCGACTTGTCATTGCAGGTTCCAGAGATGTGTCAGAGTCTGGGAAGAAAACATAACACAACATTAAATGCATTTTTCCTCCCTTCAAATACTCTTATTTTCAAGCATTAAACCAAACACAATTTTACATAGGAAAAAATCCCAAACCAACTTACACTAACAAAAAAACAAGAAGCAGGAGATGCCTATGCTCAAAATTACAGATCTAGGTCACTGTGTGCTACTTAACATATTTCTGCATACCACAAAATGGCAGTATTGAAACACACCTGGCTGTTAAAATAATTTTCAAGTGCCCTGAAATTACAGTTCATCTCTGAAGCATCACCTTTTTTTTTTCCCCTACCAGTTATACCTCTGACTTCCAGAGCCTCATCCCACCCCAACACACTGAAATTTTTCACTCCTAACTCTCAGTCTCTTCTACATGCAACACTTAATGCTTTATACCTTATAAATAAAGCAAATGTGAAACTCAAAGCAAGGTCAGATATATGTAAAGGTTGTTGTGTGGGGAGCACATTATTTAAGCATTTTATTGACCCATGAAAGTGAATTTAACATATATTTATATGGAGAGGAAATAGCATGGATTTAAACCAAGGCACTGGTGACCATACACAGAGATGGACCAGGAATTACAGGATTAGCTCTGCCTCTCCAGCTGGGAGGCAGCACTTTATCTCCACTGCCAGGACAGCGAGTTTACCACTTCAGTAACTGAATTATTTTTCAGAAGCTGTTAAAATGCTGTAATCAAACTGTCAAGCTGAATTAATGCGAGGCCTTTGCTGACGTCTAAAGAGCAGTTCAGAAGAATGATTATGTAGTGGTGAAGAAATTGCACTTCACAAACAGTTGGGATATCAGATTGTATTATCCAGCAAGCCAGCCACCTGTTCAGCACCATCATCCTACTAAAGGCTGCAGCCCTTTCTGTATCCTAGCAGAGCTGTGCATGTAAACATTTTTTAACCTGTCACTAAACTAAGCTGAGTTAAACATTTTAAAACAGTTCAGAGTGACTGTCTGTCCACAACTTCCTACATGCTATAGCTGTCCATTTTATAGCTCCTAAATTGTTGACAATTCCTTGCTTCTTCCATTATTTGTCAACTTCCCAAGCAGGCTGTATGGAAGGAGCTGGATGTTAACCTGCTTCATACAAAGCCTTCAGAAATTTCATTTTCAGGGTCTGGTTTTTTTAAGTCTAATTTCTGCTGCATATGACAAGGAGCCAGTTCAGGTTCAAGGGACCTAAAAAAACCATTCACACCCTGGTCAAGCTTTCACTTGACATCTCACCCTTGCTCTGACAACTGCTTAGGAGATAAAATCTCTTCCTAAAGATCACTTCTGACTTCAGCTTTTATCATGCAATAGTTTTCTTCTGTCCTCTCCAAAATCCATCTGACCCATCCAAGTAGCAGCATTAACAGAGAATCCTTTCAGTGATGGAGAAGTGCCTCCAGCCTGGCTGGGGCTCAGCAGGTTGTTATATTTCTTAAGGTTTACTACATCTGTGGATCAAGTAGATATTTACCCAAACATTAAGAACTCCCAGTTACCTGAAGTTTACATACACAGTCACCTGTATGTATAACTTGGTGAGTGCTAAGGTTGCTAAGAAATTTGGTCTCTCATTTCCCTGTTGGATTTGCACAATCACCAGCAGACAGAATCCATGCTTCTGTCTGCTGTCCACCATAGACATGGTTCCATTTCCAACAGTTCAGACTGCAAATTGCCACATCTTTTGGAGAAACACACCCAAATTTATTTTGGAGAGGGGGAAAAATACTACTGGACAAGATATTTATCCAACCTAATTTCCATAGTGCTGGGCCATCAGCTATCACACGTTTAATATTTTGGCAGAGTTGTGAAACTGCAAAACTAACACACCAAAACTTCAAAGTACAAAAACCCTACACATTTTCCAGGTCACTGAGCCACCACAACACTATACACTAAGGAAAGAAAAAACAAACAAAAATGCCACAAATATAATAACAAAATCCCCCTTGCACACAATGCTACTGGCATCAGTTTGACCCTTTCTCTTCTGCTCTTCAGCATTAACCTTCCATCAGCAATCCAGGAAAGCAGGAGAAAAAGATTAGCAATTCCCCTTCCCCCAAACAGCATTTTCACTGTGGCATTTTGTATCAGCTAGAACTTCATGGGTTTGGATAGCTCTTTAGCACACTGTGTTTACACTGAACATTAATTAGCTCGTGTTTAAACACCAGTTGCCATGCTGTGCTAATGCAGTGCTAATGACCTGAAACAGATGAACTTGCACACGCCAAACGGACTGAAAAGAGATTTTACTGCTTACCAAACAAGCACGATTTTCTTAACATCATGATTAACTCAACAGAGAAAGGAAGTAAATTCTTGATTAGCTAGTATTTGCCTACCTTAAGCACGTTACTGTACCACGAATTATGTCATATAAAAGAACATGCTTCCAATCCATTCCTGAACACAATCTCTGTTTTATTATGGAGGATCTGGACTATCATTTTGCTTTTTATTCCCAAAGTAGATTCTGAGAAGTTTTTCCTTGACAGCTCTTTCAGTAGGTGTTAGGTTGTGATAGAGCTATTTAATCAGGCTCTTGAACCATACATTTTTCCCCCTTAAATAATTTTTACAGATTTACTTCTTACTCATTTCCTCATTTTCTCATTTCTTACTCATTTTCCTCACTCATTTCCTTCCCCTAGTCCTCAGCTCCTCTCCCAGCTCTCTGAAGACCTGATGTTCCAGCCTCACCATTTGAAGTGTCACAATTCCAAACTGATTGTTTGGATTTGATATTGGTACTTGCAGAATTAGATTATACTGGTAACTTGCAGAAACACAGGTTTTCACTGGTCCTTCTTTTGAAGGTCACACTGTTCAACATTCTCTGGCTTTTCTGGTATTGATTCTGAAGATCCATGGTATCAGTTTTATTTATGTGGCAGGCTCATAAATAAACTATTACTAGAGTAGTAGTCTTGCATCCTCAGGCTTCAAATTATTCAAAACATGAACTTCTACCCGGAAGGGAAGAAGGCTGCTCAGAAAATAATTCCTTTTCCCCAAAGGTTTGGAGTTCAGATGCTGTTGCAGGGTGGAATGAGATCGCTGCCAATCAACTGCTGCCATTTCCACTTCTGACCTCAAGGCATCCCCATCCCCACAGAAGAGCAGTTTACAATCCTCACCTACAGGCACTGCTTTTAAAGCTCCAACAACGTGAGACACTGAGCCAGGCAAACAGGGAATGCAGCTGCCTGGGACAGACAGCATTCCTCACCCAGCCTTCTCCTGTGAGCAGGGAGGCAGCGGTGCTGGAGCTGAGGATGTTTTTTTGCCTGGGTGACAACACATCCCCACCATGCTGTGACGCACCTGGTGACAAACGGGGACACCCAGAGAGAGGCCAGGTGTGGGTTAGGCCATGACACCTCTTCTAAGTGTCACTGCAGTAACTATGCTCTTTCCAGAAATGACTAATTGGGAGTTCACAGAAGAGCCAAGCACCCAGCAATGTGTCCTTCTGCCCAGCAGCATCAACACCCAACTGTTCCTTTCCCCTGCAGGGGACAAACACAGCCCACCCTTCACACAGCACCTGTTCACAGCACTGAGAAAACACACAGTCCATCCAAGAGCCTTAGACAATTATCCCACCAACTTTATACAGCAAAGCAATTATTTTCACATTAACAATTTAAAAAGTGATTCAAACAACAAAGCAGCAAGCTAGGAACTAACTTTAAAGGTCAAAGTTGCATATAACACACTTAGTCATAATCATTCAGTAGGAGAAACAGGCCAGATTGGGTAACTAAATTCACATGCTTTGCAGCAGCCAACTAATCCAATCACATTGCTATTACTTATTGCAACATCTTCATGAGGGGGAAAGGGTGCATGGTACTATATTAGCAAAATCCTTCCAGAAAAATGTGCAGCAAGGTTCAACACTTGTACTTCTGTTGCTACTAAACACAGACAAAAAAATGTGTTTCCCACAAAACAGAAATTCCTTTCCTCCTAAGTAAAGGAAAAGCCTTACAGGTTATTAAAAAGCACTGCAATACTTTCACCTGTATCTGACAGTTGCACCAGAAGAACAAGTCCTAAATGCTGTTCAGGAAACAACTAATTTGATTAATGATAATGCTACAAATCAACTTCATACAGATTACCACGGCTGTTCACAGGGAAAGATGTTTCTCACTGGTTATGCCTCTGCTTTCCCCAGTAGCCCTCACTCGTCCAACAGGCTGCTCCTGCTTTGGCAGACTGGGAAAAAAACACAATTGTTCTTTAGGATTCATGGGGTATTTTTATCATTTTGGCTTACATGACAGTAATTTTCAAGTGTCAGACTCAAAACAGGTAGACACTTCATACCCTAAATCTACCCTGCATTTGGCAGGAAGGAGAAGCAGTATATTTGTTTTAGACAATCTCTGCAGCCTCCATGTGGAGTGACATTTTATATTAACAGGAACAGGACCCCATTAACACATTACAGCCACGTTCCAAAGCAGGCCAGCAGCACATTAAATCTTTCTCAGACAGGGAACACCTGCACAAGGCAATATGATCTGAAACTCATATGCTCACAGAAGTTCTAGATTCTGTTTGATTTACTAGAGATTCAACCAGTATCTGCCTTCCAACACTGAGATAATGTGGGAGAACTGCTGCAATTCTTTGTAGTTATTTAAAATAAGTAACAGAGCTCTCAGGATCAGACAAAATTTTCTGTTAAGAACAAGAAGTCTTCATTTCAGGTCCCTGAATGAATGAAGCACGATATCAGTGAAAAGTACTACTTTGCTACAGAAGTAATCTAGAAAGCCAATTCCCATTTAGCCCAGAATGCCCTCCCTGAAGCAGAGAGCACAGCTGCTGGGACATTATCTGTCACATGGATTTCATCTCATTCAGCAGATCTATACCATAGAAGACAAAAAACCAAAGGGACAGAAAATGCAAAATTCAACGTTCTTTCCTATCCCCATTCAAATTTCTAATTATGATCAATTAAATTCCCTTGGCATCTCCATGAGTTAATGTATTCCATAGTTAACATCCATTGTTCCTTTTACATCCACCAGTCATTACTTTTAAATGAACTACAGAGCCAGGGCTGGTAATTACTATCAAACAATAGCCCTGTGAAACCTTCCTGTCAGGGATCCAGTTACCCAGCCTGCAGATAAGGCTTTAATGCTCAGTTTCCATCAGGATCAAGAAGGAAGTTTTGCTTCACTTTCCAAGTTCATGCAACTGGATTTGAGATACAAAGGTGGAGGGGAATAGGGGGAAAAAAAGCCCAACAAAAACTGTTTTAAATTCAGGGCAGAATGAAAAAGTTGATATCAATATCAAGTACTATTAAAAGACTGTAGTGTTGAGCAGAGGCCAATCCCAGATCATGGCCAAAACTGATAGTGCCACCCACTATGGATCATAACATAAACACACAGCACATCCCCCTGACACAGCAACCCAGGTCAGACCATTAAGCTGGATGAGAACTTAAACATTTCCAGCAGGAGTTCTCTGAGCATCACTAAAAAACCCAAACATTTTTGTGCAAGTGCTTTTAAGTTCAGAACAATTTAAGTTAAATAATCAGCACTTAAGTATGCTTAGGGATACTTAAAAAGAGAATCCTAGGCAAGATTTTAATGTCTTGTCAATGAGATTATACTTTTAATGAAAATTATAAACCTATCAAAGAGACGAATAAGAGTCATTCTAAGGCCAGGACAGAAAGTCAAGTAAAATTGCAACGGTAAATAAGGAGCCTTCAAAACTACTGGAATTTTGTTGCAGATAAAATTACTGGAATTTGTTGCTGCTCCTGAGGTCCCCAAGCTTGTCTTTACAATACTTCAAAAATAATCAAACAAATTGTTTAATGTTAGCTAAGTGAGTGTCTTCTATATTAACATTTTCCCCAAAGACTTAAGAAAGGTTAGGTACCACCATAGTTCCTCTGCCTTTATGGATAAAGGAATAATAATTAATTTCCTATTCTCCTTCCATGACATGCCACTTCCCAAAAACTTTAAAAGCTGCACTACAGTCCCATTTTAACAAACACAAAAGGCTAAGCAGTTAAAGGTTCTCCAGAAACTCAGAAAAATCTAATTTCTTCTTATTTAGTGATTTTCTGAAGGCTGAAGTGAAACAGCATTTTAAAGAAATCCAACATTTTCCCTAGCAGAAGAAATAAAAGAAGTTTTAGGCAAAGCTCTGCTCTTTGGAATAGATTCAAACTACACCAGAGTATAATTATATCAAAGAACATTTACTCCCAGTTGGCACAATAAGAATTAATAAAAATTCTGGTACATATATAATACTTTCTCCATTCATGTGCTCTCCTCCTATGAACTATATTCTTATTTATCATTTGTAATTGCATGCAACAGTTAGTACCTTTTCATTCCAAAACATTCCCCATTAAACAGTTCAAAGGGACCTTTTATTAGTTCTCAGAACAAAATAAAATAGCAACAAACCACCACCATATCTCCCTCACCACCACCACCACAGATTTTGGGGTTTTAGTCATTTCCTATAACATATATTGCTGTCTTTAAAATTATGTTAAAATATGTGTTTTTTCCAGGTAGCTAGTTGCTGGCATCAAAATTACCTAAAAATCTAATTTGGCCACAAGTGAGAAGAGAAATGCCCCAGAAAAAGAAAAGTTTACAGACCTATATCTGAAATTTCTGTGGCAAGGGATTCAGAAATAGACACATTAAATTAAAACAAGGGCAAACTCAGAGCCAGCCTAAAGCCAGCTCTTCCCACTTTTCTCAAACTGCTGTAATTCTCTTCAGTCACCCTGGCAAGTCAAAGGAGGGCAAAAAAACCCCAACAATGGTTTTACAGTTCTGAGCAATAAATATATAACTGCTGTATTTGTTCTCTTCTAAAAGGGAGGAGAGTCTACATCAGAATCTTCTGGTGCTGCATCTCAACAGAACATGTTGGATTTCTGTAATAACAAAGCATCAAAAGCTTACACA